AGTTTTCCATCAAATTTCATACTTTTGGTGTCCTTACCTTCAGAAAAAGATTCTCTACCATATCAGAAGAAAAAATAATTTTTTGAAAAGTGGACACTGAGAGCAGTATTTTGGGGGGCTGGACATTGAAAGGGTTAAAAGTGCTTACAGTGTCCACATTTAAAAAAAAAATTGCTCTGAAATGGTAGTGAATCTCTTTTTAAATGTAATGACACCAAAAATTTGAAATTTGATGGAAACCTACAGAATTAAATAGGCACAAAGTTAGTGGTCTGGGTGTAGTTTATATATCTGCAATTTTGCTGCCTCTGAATCCTATTTTAAGCCAGTTCCATTGCTCAGTTCAACCAAAGAAATTCTTAGTTATTTTGTTAGTATGCCTTCTAATCTACTAATTAAGCACAGGAAACTCCCCATTCAGCTATCAAAACTACCCTATAAAGTGCACAGATGTTGGTAATTTGGCCAATTTTACAAAAAAAAAAAAAAAAGAATTCCATTTAGAATCCATAATAAAGACTGTAGACATTCAAGGAACTAAAAAACATTTTCTCTCTTCATTATTCACATCCCCAGGTCTCATTTTGAATTTTGAATTCATCATGCCAAAAAATAAAAAAATTACTCTATTTCTCGGAAAATAAAATATAACTAAGAATGATTGATCATTGTTTATGGCATCTCAATAATTGAAACAGACCTAATAAAAACCCATAAAACAGACTGGGGGTGCAGGGGGCCTTACCCGTCCTCAGAAACATTGGCAAAAATCTGATATTTGATGCTGATTTCATGCTACTTCCAGTCTTGGAAGCAACCAAAATCATCTTGTTTCAGCAGTATGTATTGCGTCCAATCAAATGATACCAAGAAATGGCCAATAAAACCTAGAAAACACCTCAAAGTCAATATTTTATACCAAATAGTCAGTTTTGCTTTTCCTATCGTGCATTGCAAAATATTTTTTTTTATACTGTGCACGCTCACCACACACCTATTTTCTCATATCTAGTCCAAAATTTACTGCTCTCAGCTAATCCGAATGAGCTGAGCTCAAGACAAAGTTTTGAGTAGAAAACATTTGTGTTGCTATGTAAAGTTACACCGAACAGCATTGAAAATGATAAAAGTCGCGATGTACAATATTCAGTGCTTATTAAAGTATGCCACATGATCCCATCCAGCATACTTTAAGTCAAAAGTAATACCTGACCCTGTTTAGTTGTTTTGGAGCGACAGGCATTTATGCCAACCTGTCAACTCATAATGTGACATATTGAGAGTCTGATAGGCTACTCATTGCATGCTCAGTGCCTTCTGGGCTTCTGTGGATGGATACATGTCTGTGATTTCCCTGTCTTGAGTATCAAATTTGCTGGACATTTTTGGCTATAGACAAATTAATGAGACAGTCACACAGATCATTGCATTACATAAGGCAGCCATCAAAGAAAGGAAATAGTTGAAGCCATCAGCTTGTGGGTACAGTCAGTGAGGAATTGGCTGTACCGGTTCTGTGAGGATGGTGTCATGACATGCCCACACCAAAAGCACATCCAGGGAAGCTTAGAAAAACATCCTCACATACTTTCTTTCTTTCAACGCACCAGCCGTATCCCACTGAGGTGGGGTGGCCCAAAAGTAAAAACGAAAGTTTCTCCTTTTAAATTTAGTAATATATACAGGAGAAGGGGTTACTAGCCCCTTGCTCCCGGCATTTTAGTCACCTCTTACGACACGCATGGCTTACGGAGGAAGAATTCTGTTCCACTTCCCCATGGAGGTAAGAGGAAATAAACAAGAACAAGAACTAGTAAGAAAAATAGAAGAAGACCCAGAGGGGTGTGTGTATATATATGCTTGTACATGTATGTGTAGTGTGACCTAAGTGTAAGTAGAAGTAGCAAGATGTACCTGAAACCTTGCATGTTTATGAGACAGAAAAATGGACACCAGCAATCCTACCATCATGTAAAACAATTACAGGCTTTCGTTTTACACTCACTTGGCAGGACGGTAGTACCTCCCTGGGCGGTTGCTGTCTACCAACCTACTACCTAGGATCCTCATATACATTAACTGCAATAAAGAGGCAGCGTGAGTCCAAACCAAGAGAAACTGCACAAGAGATTAAGGAAAAGAATCCAGGGTTGCTTCATAATGTGTGGATTAGAACTGTTAATAGGCATATGGAGGAGCTTCTTTACAGCAGCCATTGACCCATCCAGAAACTGATTTTGAGCACAGTACAGTAGAGTGAGGGTCATTTGGAGTGATGAGGCTACTTTCACAAGTTTACAGATGCCTGAGTAGCAACCTCTTGGGTCCACGCTACACCTGTGGCACCACAAAACTCCCAGAATTTCTAATGGTTTGGGTTTATTATATTGCTAAAAATGTTGGTGAATTGATGTTGCCCAACAACCAACTTATAAACTAGTACAACTACCTAGAATTACTGTGATTATTTGCCTGAATCCTTCACTCAGTGTGGTGCAAAGATTTTTATGCAAGTCAGCACTTGCTGCTCTGCTAAATCAGCTGTTAAGTGGCTTCATGACTGTGAGGTACCCTTCTTTGATGATTGGCCAGGAATTCCCCTAGACTTGAACCCCCATTGAAAACCTCTTCGCTGTCATAGAGATCTACAGGGAAAGGACATCAACTCACTCCCATGGCTGGAGGTCACCATCTGTGAGTCATGGGAGAATTCACCCCAAGAAACCCCTCAAGAATTTCTGTGAATCACTTGAAGGAAGTCCTAATGTGCAAGGGACAACCTACAGAATACTAAATCATTGTGAAATACACCACGATATTTTTTTATTTCTTCATTTTGTGATCGTGGCCAGCATACTTTAATGATGAGTACTGTACATTGTCTGATGAATATTGTAAATAAACCCACATGCTGAGCAAATAAAAATACAGCACATTACTCAGACCTTAAATGAAAAAATGTTCTTTAATAATGTTAAAAATTGAGTGGTGATGGAATGCACATAAGGAAAATGAGAGAATGGGCAAGTCTTTATCATCAGATTTTGCCAAGATTAAGAAACAGTTTGAGAGAGAAATAAGGTGAGAACTTGGAAAGCAAGTATTAGATAGGAAGATAGAGAGGTATTGGAGAGATGTAGAGAATATTTCGAGAAAGTTTTTGAGAGTGAAGGAAGGAGATGGTGATTTCACCCATGGGGCAGGGAGGAATAGGGTCTGTTAGGAGTGAAAATTGAGGAGCTGCTATGGGAGTGAAACAATATGCAAGTCAAAAGAGGGTAAAGAAACAGAAATGGATGGGATTAAGATATTTTGAAAGCAGGAGGGGATATAGTTTTTAAATAGCTGGTACATTTGTTCCATATGTGAAAGAAAAAATATACCCAAGGATTGACTGAGAGAATGCAGTTTCTTTGTTCAGTGGAAAAGGATGAGAAAGAAAGGCATAGATTAAGTACTGTGCTTATGTTATCATTGGAGCAGAATAATATGACTAAGAGGGTACAGTTTGTAATTCTGAGGTGGAAGGGAGGAGGGATAAGACTTATCCCAAGAAGGGTTGGAGGGATGGGGTAAAGGTGGTTTTGAGTGCTAGGGGCTTCAGCATCCAGTAAGCTCATGTGAGCACAGTAGATCAGAGTGGAAACAATTTTTTTGTTTAATTACTTGATGTGCTGTTGGAGTGTGAGCAAGGTAACATTTATGAAGGAGCTCAGGGAAACAGGTTAGCTTGACTTGAATTCTGGAGGCAGTAAGTAGTGTCTGCTTTCTAAAGGAGGATTGAGAATGTTGCGATTTGTAGGGTCATCTGAACTGTGATGCCATTACACTTTTGGCAAGACAATGATGCATGAACGGTGAACGTGCTTTCTCAGTGGAAGACATCTGGTGTGTTAAAAATAAACATGTATGTAAGTACATAGTAAAGTACTTAGAGAAGGCAGAGTTGTTTGTTGCATTTATGGATTTGAAGAAAGCATATATGATATGATAGATGGGGGAAGCAGTGGGGTATTTGCTGCAAATATATGGAATAGATGTAGAATGTTAGAGGTTTATAAGGAGAATGAGGCTCAGGTTATGTTGTGTAGAAGAGGAATAGTGTTTTCCAGCAAAAGTGGGCTTTACACAGAAATGTTGGATGGTATGGTTTTTTAATGTATAAAAAGAATGGCATTGTAAAAGAAGTGAATGGTAGTGTTGGGGAAAGATGCTGATTTAAAAGATGACTAATATAAATAGGGAGGTGTGATGGTGGTTGTTTGGGTGATTCAGAAGACAAGTTACAAGTGTTGGTGGAGGAGTTTGGAAGTGTGTGTGTGAAAGAAGAAAGTTGAAAACAAAGAAAATAGCAAGGTGATGAGATGAAAAAAAAAGACTAGGAAACAAAAGATTTAAGAGAAAAGGCTTTCAGTGTATGACAGTAATGTACATGTATAGGGTTGCTCATGCTTCTACAGGTGTGTGAAGCAAGGTCTTCAAATGTTGCAGTGAGGAAGAGGAAGCCTGGGGCAGTGTGGGGGGTATGAACATTGTGCAGTGAATAAGAATTCAAGAAAACATATGAAAGTTGTTACTCAAAGATAAAAAATAGTTGTTGAGAGGGTTTGGTTAAGTTGAAAGAATGGAAAAAGATAAATTGATTAATTAAGATGTAGGGTTGAGAGAGTGAATGAGGTTTTGAGAGGTAGGGGCTTGAACATATAGCAGGCACGAGTGCATTGGGTTGTTGTTGGATCATGTTTGTACCTTCTGGAAAGGCAGCTGGAAAACAGGTGCTGGCAAGTGTGTTTTCTTTGGGCCATTATACATATATTGGCAAACAATTGCTGATGAGGTAGAAAGATATATATACTAGTATATATTTCTAGGTTATGTGCTTATTAAAATTTTCCAGGGCATCTTCATACTTTATACATATATTCATAACACTATGTTCTTTGCAGACTTTTTTTTGCTAAACTGATGTCACTAAAAATTCCTTTAACTTCATATTTCAGAGGAAGATATCCAAGGTTACCAGTTTAGTGATCGCAGCTAGTCACGTTAATGGTGGGCAGAGAACCACAGCCCGAGCTTAAACCTCAGTGAAAATTGTGTCAAATATCAGTGAAGCTGCTTAATGTTATCAGCATAACTGATGTTGCAATTAACTGCTTCTTGTTGCTTCTAAGATGGCCTCCCCAAATAATTTTTTTAATTTTTATAATTAAAGCATTTTTGAAGAAATTAAGTGCAGGTAGTGGTTATGGTAATATAGTAGAATAATTTCCAAGATCCAATTACATAGACAGTATATTTTTTATATAAATACCAGTCATTATATAAACTGCAGCACAAGTTAATGTTATTCACAATATTATATTCTCCAGTGAACTCAAAGCATGCTACCCCACAAGTCAATTCCACAAGGTATTTCCACATTAGCAATAGTGGGCAAATGGGAGTATGCCAATTCTTTGAACACAAATCAGTTCATAAAAACATCAAAATAGTTACTGAGGTGGATGATAACATTATTCATGTTTTGCTGCTTCCTAAAGAGCAGATGGTGACAAAAAATGACAGTGACATTAAACATTGGAACTTACGTGTTTCGTTTTAAAAAGTCGCCACAGAGCTCACAGGAGAATAGACAAAGGGAAGGAAATGAGGACAATGAATTATAAGTTTAATTGATGATTCTGTTGAAAAAAATTGCCTCTACCTGACTAAGTGTGTCTACTACTCAGCAGTTATTACATACACACAGAAGTGAATATAATGAAACAAATTTATTTGTGTATCACTAAAGTGCAAGTATGTGTTACTGTTAAAAAAAAAACACAAAAAAAAAAGAAAAGTTTTTTCCATAAAAGCAAGATAAGGATTGAAAATGAAAGTGTGTGGTAGCCTGTGTGTTTTCTGCCCAATAAGAATGACAAGGATGATTGTTTATGAGAATTCAGGTAATTCAGTGCAAATCATTGAAAGGAATATTTACAGTTTTAAAGTGACTTCCAGGCATTGCATTTCTACAGATTCATATGCAATAATTTCACAAAACTGACAAAGGTAGTGGAGTTTCAAGATATTGTAGCTGACTCTGCAGCCAGTTTATGCAACTTTGTATTAGAATTGTGTTTATGACTTCTACAGTAAATAAACTGTGGTCAGGTCCTGAGCTTTGTACTTGAAGTTATACATGTCGTTGTTTTGTGATACAGTAAGACAACCCTGGGCTTGCCAGGAATTTATATGGGTTTGAATCAAATCAACCATATATTGTTTTTGGTTCACCTTATAATTTCAGTCATAATGACAGAAATAATAAGAATCCATTAGCTTGAATTAGGTGCAGATGTGTACAGTGTACAAAATGCATACAATGTGTACATTGTGTATAATGTGTACATGTACAGTGCACATAGTGTAGTGTGTACATTGTGTATACAGTGTATATTGTGTATTTATGTAGTGTGTACATTGTGTACAGTGTACAGTGTGTACATTATGCACAGAGGGGTTCATGACTGCATGTATTGTGTTTTACACTGTGTTCCTTAAATTGCAGCTATTTGACTATTAGGGAAGACTAGTATTTTTTTAATGCATTTTTAAATGGAGGTTGTAAGCTTGAGTTTATAATCAAATGTATAGTCATGTTATTTATATACAAAGCCTCATATGTGAGCCAAAAGCAGGTAAATTTAATAAGGATCAATAAGTTGCTGAACTTTTATGAAAGTGAGAATTAAGTTTCATGAAATTGTCAAATTCTTAAAAGTACCAGGAGTTTTAAACTATTTTGTGTCATCTGAAGGGTATGTTTGCAGTGTTATTGTGACAGTACATACTTGTAGTTGTATTTTGTAAATGAAAGGAGAATAACAGTAAAATACATTACATGGGAAGGATAGAGAATGTAAAGATTAAATGAGTAGCAGTGGAAAAGTTATATATAGTAATACCTTGTATAACATGGTTCTGAACAGCATGGGTTTTGCTATAGCACAGTTTATAATTTTAAAGGTTTTAACAATTAAAATTTTTTTTAGCAGTAGTTTGGTAGTGAATCACCACAGTAATGACCACACAGGGAGTTTGTGGGATACATGCAATGTATCGGTACACTAACATATTTTGTCTTTGGAACAGAAAAGTTGTAGTCACTATAATTTATTATATTTTTTATTACATGCGAGTACTTTTTTATATGCAGTTATGAGTGGGAAGAGGAAATGCAACAAAACTTTTGAACCTAACAAATGTAAATGGTTAACAATAGAACAAAATCTTGAAATTATAAAGCGTCATGAAGAAGGAGCATCATACACTAAAATAGCAACAAGTCTCCTGAATGGGGTAAAAGGAAATGTAGAGAAAGGAAAACTTTTTCAACTAGTCATGGCTGATTTTATAACTTTAAAAAGCATATGGGGTTCCATAACATTGGAATTGTAAATGAAAGTGCTAGTGCTTTTTGAAGAACATGCCCTTGTGCATTTATTTAACTCTTAAACTGTGGGTTACTCCAAAAAAAAAAAAAATATTCCTGTGACTGGGAAGATTTTAAAAAGAAAAAAAAAAAAAATTTTCTTAGTTTGACAGCGTCCATTTTTCCGAGTCAAATAAGACTAAAATGAGTGGAATCGAATAAAAACTTAGGATTTTATGATAATGTTGAAATTAGTGAAAAAATTATCATTCACCAGCAGTGGCATAAAAGCACCAGTGATATTTAAATTTTACAATTTATTGATGCCAATATGTGATTTTTTTGTTTTGTTTTAATTGCTTTTAATGTTTAACCCTTTGGGGGTCGCCAGGCCCTCTCAGAGACTTGTTCTCAGGGTTGCCAAAATTTAAAAAAAAAGAAAAATAATATTTTTTCTTGTGAAAAGATAGAGAATCTTTTTCCCGATCATAATGACACCAAAAGTATGAAATTTGATGGAAAACTTACGGAATTATGCTCTTGCGAAGTTAGTGGTCTCGACGATGTTTACACATCGGCGATTTTGCCCACTTTGAGCCCTATTTTCGATCAATTCCAGTGTACTAGTCAACAAAAATCATAACTATTTCGCTAGAACTCCATTTTTTCTATCGAATGAGTACAAGAAACCACCAATTTACTGATTTCAACTATCCAATAAAGTGGTCAGAATTTAGCAATTTTGCCAATTTCACACAAATTTCAAGTTGCCAATTTCCAAATAGGGTCCAGAATAAACAAGAAAGACATTCCTGGCACTAAAATGACATTTCCTCTGTTCATTAGTCACGTCCCCATGCCCCTCTTACATTTCTTTAGCTTTCCACTTTGATTTTTTATTCTCACAAAAATAATAAGATTTACTGTTATGCAGACTACTGCATTAGTGTAGAAATGGTATAAATAATATCAGCGCACTTGTGAAAGAATATTAGACTCGCCAGTTCATGTGTATTGGATGCTTAGCATGATTTGTTTACTTTTGAACTTTGGTAAAAATCGAAAATTTCTGCTACTTTGAGATCAATTTCAAGGCACTTTTCATTGTAAAACCAGTCAAAATCATCTCAATTTCTGTAATATGTCTTCCATTCTATACAATGAGACCAGGAAAACTAGAATGCAACAATAAATACCTTACGAAAATGCAGTGCAAAGTCGCTGTTTTAAACCAAAAACACAGTCAAAGTTTTTTTTTCTCATTACGCACTGTGTGCTGCAGGATTTTTTTATACTGTGCACACTGACCACATAGACCCATTCTTTCATATGTAGGTCTACCAGCTTTCTCTTGCTAGATTTGAGGGCGTTAGAATTTATGCGTACTAGTACGTTTAAAACCCTGATGCGTAAGCCGTACTAGTATGGCCGAAACCCCGAAAGGGTTAACAGTATGTACACTAGTTTCTTATATTAGATGTGTTTAAAGTCTTTTGTCAGTTGAAACGGGGAAATACTTAGCCCGACATTGCTCCATATGGAATATATGATGCAATTTTTTTTTTTTTTTTTTTTTTTTTTTTTTAAGGCTTTATGCAAGGAATACATACTTACAGTATTACAATTATTCACATTGTTTGACTCTACTGGGTTATCCTTGGTTAAACCTATTTAGTGTGATTTGTGACTGACTTCCATGGTTAGTACAGTGGAACCTCAGTTTTCGTGATTAATCCATTTGGAAAAAGTCTGACGAAAACCGAAGCATATGAAAACTGAAGCAATATTTCCCATAAGAAATAATGTAAATCCAATTAATCTGTTCCAAACACCCAAAAATATTAACAAAAAATACATTTTATAGAGATTAACTATAGTTTTACATACAGAAAGCATTGAGGAATAAATATAAATGACTAATGGAATGGATAAATGAACATTTAACATCACTTTTACCTTTATTGAAGAGACTTGTTGACGTATGGAAGACGGCGAGGAGGGTAGAGGGAGGAGGAGAGGTTATTGTTTGGAAGGGGAATCCCCGTCCATAAGGAATTCAGGTATCAAGGCCCTATCTGGGGTTACTTCCCTTCTTTGTCTTTTACTGGCACTAGGACCAGCTTGAGAGTCACTCGACCCGTTGCACAAAAAATCTGTCCAGAGAGGTCTGTTTCTGGCATCTCTCTAAGATTTGACTGAAATGGGACAAGGCTTTGTCATTGAACATGTTGCAGACACGGCTTGCAACAGCTTTGTTAGGGTGATATTTCTCCACAAAACTTTGCAACTCATTCCACTTTGCACACATCCTTAACCCGTAAACGGTCCAAACGTATATATACGTTCACTACCCCAGTGCCCCGAATATTTTGAAAAATAAAAAAATCATTTTTTGTTGAAAGAAAGAGCACATTTTTCTAAGTGTTATAGCATAAAAAAAATTTTTAAGGTCAGTACTTACCGAGATATGAGGCCGCAAAGTTGGCACTTGGAGATCACCTGGCGGCAACATGGAGCGCTGCCGCATGCAGAAGTGTTGCCGATATATCTTTTTTTCCATTTTTCGTATTATTTTATATAATTTTTATGTTTTAATAATTACAATTTATAGTAGTTCTTGTCATTTCATAACTAATCTTTGTTCTGACACTAGTATTAGGTACTGAAATTGTACTCACATTGTCACAAACAAATGACAGGTGGACAGTTACATCTGCCCTTGGTCATTTACTATTGTCTTGGAATATATACAGAGTATTTATAGGTCCCAGCAATGTTTTGGATATGAGGAAGTATATAATAATAATGAGGAGGAGGAGAAGAAGAATACATAATAATAAAATAATAAGTTCCCTTGAAGCATGAAAAACAGTCCACCCCTGACAGTGACTTGATAAGATGAGATAACATTTGATAAGAGCTGACGTTTGATGAGCATTGGCAAGGGTGCAGTGATAAGACTTGATAAGAAAAGATTAGGGCCTGCTTTGTTTTCGGGTACACAAACATGTCTATTTGTTTGTCAAGCTATCTGACTATGTGTCTAACTCTGTCTCAGAGAGAGCCACAAGACTGGGTCATCACGTTTACTCATATCTTCAAGCAGAGTATAGCACTTTGGATTTTTTGGGTTATCCTAGGTAATTTACACTATGTATACTTGTATTTATGTGTACCTGTGAGAAAGAGATAGACAGAGAGACAGACAGACATAGAGACAAATGGAGATAGAGCCAGGCCGCCAGCAGCCGGCCAGCCACACAGCTGGCTGCTACGCAGCTGGCCAGCCAGCTACCCAGCCAGCTAGCCAGACAATCAGGCAGGCAGCCAGCCAGCCAGAATTGTTTCTCTTTACTTAGGGCATAGGTTATAAGACTTTCTGAAAGGGTGTTGCACAAATATTGCACATGGGTTATTATCGAGTTTTTTTTTTATATTTCCTCTACCACTTGTGGCCACATCCACCTCATAGCCACTAAACTGGGGGTCAAAATCACTTTCCTCTTAAAATGGGAGTGGTAATACTACATGACACCAGTGAATCCAAGGTGTTTGCTGCGCTGTTTGCTCTAGCTGGTGCTCATTTGAACTGGTGCTTCCACAAGGTACTAAGTGATCCCAGATTTTTTTAATACCACACACACTGAGTGTTAGAACCCATTCTATACTGACAAGGCATCTCAGGCCAATCGTGCCAAATTTGAAGGCAGGAAAAATAAAACATATACGTTTGGGGCACTAGCGGTAAAAACGTATATATACGTTTGGACCATTTACGGGTTAATCACTGAAGAAGGATCATTCTTCTCTCTCCCTCCTCCTCTGAAGCAATTTCCTCAGCTGCAGTCTGTTGCTGTTCCGGTTGAAGGTCTTGCAGCTCTTCAGCGGTTAGCTCTTCCCTGTGGTTGTTTGCCAACTCTTCCACATCCTGGTCACTCGCATCCAACCCCATGGACTTCCCCAAAGACACAGTAGATTCCACAGCAGGCATGGGGTCGCCAAGGTCAGCCTCAAACCCTTCAAATTCCTTCTCGAGGACACATTCTGGCCACAGTTTTCTCCAAGCAGAGTTCATCATCCTGGAAGTCACTCCCTGCCAAGCCTAATCTATAAGGTTTATGTAATTGAGGATATTGAAGTGATTCCTCCAGAACACTCTTAGGGTCAACTCAACGAGAAACAAAAGTAGATTCAGTTACGAACACATGGGATGCTTTGTGTGGGCACTTGATTCCAGGAAATGAGTGGCTGAGTCACTCAGGCAGGCAGATGAGTTTGGTACGGACCATTTTCAACTGTACGAAAAGTGAGCAGATGTATGAAAACTGGGACAAAATTTCGATGAAAAAAATTGTTGAAAACTGAATTGTATGAAAACTAGGGCATGTGAAAAACAAAGTTTGACTGTATTATGAAATTTTAATACATTTGGAGTGAATAATTCATCTTTGTACCACTTTCACATCCTGTTTGCTGGTAGTGAAGCTGGTGGAGGAGCAACAGCTCCTGGTTCATTGTTTACTTTTGATAATTAGGCATACTAGTACATTAGTTATACAGTCATCACCTGAGTAGTTATCCATGATACATTTTGTGGACTGTGCTGGCCTTGGGTTTTTTCAAATATATGAATAGATAGAAGTCCAAAAGAGTTGTGCTAAGGTCAAAAATATTGACAGGTGGCAGATTTATGGGTATGGAAAAGTGTTCACACCAGTATGTCAGACACAGACAACATTTTTGCTTAGTATGGTGGACACAGTTTAAGGGTTAATACATTATGACACTGTTTTCAACAGAGTCGTTTTGCATAACACAACTTTTGAGGCACCTATTAGTCACGTTATGCAAGGTATTCCTATATGTATGTGTGTATATGTATATATAATGTATATATATATGTATATACACAGTACACACACACACACACACACACATAGTACACACACATAGTACACACACACAGTACACACACACAGTACACACACACAGTACACACACAGTACACACACACAGTACACACACACGTCAACACACATACACACACACACAGTACACACACACACAGTACACACACACACAGTACACACACACACAGTACACACACACAGTACACACACACACACAGTACACACACACAGTACACACACACAGTACACACACAGTACACACACACAGTACACACACACAGTACACACACACAGTACACACACACACAGTACACACACACACAGTACACACACACAGTACACACACACACTACACACACACACGTACACACACACACACACACACACACACACACACACACACACACACACACACACACACACACACACACACACACACACACACACAAATACAAATACACACACGAAAATAGGGAGATCAGTCGCAAAGCCAGGAATGAGTACGCACAGGTAAGGAGGGAGGCCCAGCGACAGTATGAAAATGACATAGCATCGAGAATCAAAGACTGCACACCGAAACTGTTGTATAGCCACATCAGGAGGAAGACAACAGTCAAAGACCAGGTGATCAGATTAAGGACAGAAGGTGGAGAACTCTCAAGAAATGATCAGGAGGTATGTGAGGAGCTGAACAGGAGATTTAAGGAAGTTTTTAACAGTAGAGACAGGAAGGGCTGTGGGAAGACAGAACAGAAGGGAACATCAAGAGGAATATACCAACAAGTGTTGGATGACATACGAACAACTGAGGAGGAGGTGAAGAAGCTCTTAAGTGACCTTGACACCTCAAAGGCGATGGGACCGACAACATCTCCCCATGGGTCCATAGAGAAGGACAGAGATGCTGTGTGTGCCTCTAACCACAATCTTCAACACATCCCTTGAAACTGGGCAACTACCTGAGAAATGGAAGACGGCTAATGTAGTCCCCATATTTAAGAAAGGAAACAGAAACGAGGCACTAAACTACAGACCTGTGTCTCTGACATGTATCGTGTGCAAAGTCATGGAGAAGATTATCAGGAGGAGAGTGGTCGAACACCTGGAAAGGAACAAGATTATAAATGAAAACCAGCATGGGTTCATGGAAGGCAAATCTTGTATCACAAACCTCCTGGAGTTTTATGACAAGGTAACAGAAGTAAGACACGAGAGAGAGGGTTGGGTAGATTGCGTTTTCCTAGACTGCAGGAAGGCCTTTGACACAGTTCCCCACAAGAGATTAGTGCAGAAGCTGGAGGATCAGGCACACGTAAAAGGAAGGGCACTGCAATGGATAAGGGAATACCTGACAGGGAGGCAGCAACGAGTCATGGTACGTGAAGAGGTATCACAGTGGCGCCTGTTACGAGCGGGGTCCCACAGGGGTCTGTTCTAGGACCAGTGCTATTTTTGATATATGTGAACGACATGATGGAAGGAATAGACTCTGAAGTGTCCCTGTTCGCAGATGACGTGAAGTTGATGAGAAGAATTAAATCGGACGAGGATGAGGCAGGACTGCAAAGAGACCTGGAGAGGCTGGACATGTGGTCCAGTAACTGGCTTCTCGAATTCAATCCAGCCAAATGCAAAGTCATGAAGATTGGGGAGGGCAAAGAAGACCGCAGACAGAGTATAGGCTAGGTGGACAAAGACTACAGACCTCACTCAGGGAGAAAGACCTTGGGGTGACCATAACACCGAGCACATCACCGGAGGCACACATCAACCAAATAACAGCTGCAGCATACGGGCGCCTGGCAAACCTGAGAATAGCGTTCCAATACCTTAATAAGGAATCGTTCAAGACACTGTACACTGTGTATGTTAGGCCCATACTGGAGTATGCAGCACCAGTCTGGAACCCACACCTGGTCAAGCACGTCAAGAAGTTAGAGAAAGTACAAAGGTTTGCAACAAGGCTAGTCCCAGAGCTCGAGGGAATGTCGTACGAGGAAAGGTTAAGGGAAATCGGACTGACGACACTGGAGGACAGAAGGGTCAGCGGAGACATGATAACGACATACAAGATACTGCGGGGAATAGACAAGGTGGACAGAGATAGGATGTTCCAGAGAGGGGACACAGGGACAAGGGGTCACAACTGGAAGCTGAAGACTCAGACGAGTCACAGGGACGTTAGGAAGTATTTCTTCAGTCATAGAGTTGTCAGCAAGTGGAATAGCCTAGCAAGTGAAGTAGTGGAGGCAGGAACCATACATAGTTTTAAGAAGAGGTATGACAAAGCTCAGGAAGCGGAGAGAGAGAGGATCCAGTAGCGATCAGTGAAGAGGCGGGGCCAGGAGCTGAGTCTCGACCCCTGCAACCACAATTAGGTGAGTACACACACATACACACACACACATATACACACACACACACACACACACACACACACACACACACACACACACACACACACACACACACACACACACACACACACTGCACACACACGTGCAACACACGTGCACACACACGTGCACACACACACACACACACACACACACACACACAACACACACACACGTGCACACACGTGCACACACACACATACATACACGTGCGCACACACACTATGTGTACCCCTAACAACAATATTCAATACATCTATCGAAACAGGGAGATTGCCTGAGGCATGGAAGACAGCAAATGTAGTCCCAATCTTTAAAAAAGGAGACAGACATGAAGCATTAAACTACAGACCAGTGTCACTGACATGTATAGTATGCAAAATCATGGAGAAGATTATCAGGAGAAGAGTGGTGGAACACCTAGAAAGGAATGATCTCATCAACAGCAGCCAACATGGTTTCAGGGATGGGAAATCCTGTGTCACAAACCTACTGGAGTTCTGTGACATGGTGACAGCAGTAAGACAAGAGAGAGAGGGGTGGGTGGATTGCATTTTCTTGGACTGCAAGAAAGCGTTTGACACAGTTCCACACAAGAGATTGGTGCAAAAACTGGAGGACCAAGCAGGGATAACAGGGAAGGCACTACAAGGGATCGGGGAATTTTGTCAGAAGAAGCAGAAAGTCATGGTACGGGCGAGGTGTCAGAGGGGGCACCTGTGACCACGGGGTCCCGCAGGGCCATCCAGGACCGTGCTGTTTCGGGTTTTTGGAACACATGAGGAAGGAAAGCTCGAGTGTCCCTGTTTGCAAAAGACGTAAAGGGTTTTGGAAAAATTCACCGATCGAAGACCGGCAGAACAAAAAAGGGATTTGAAGGCTGCAGACCTGGTCCAGCAATTGGCTCCGGGAGTTCAACCCCACCAAGTGCAAAGCAAAAAATTGGGGAAAGGCAAAAAAGGGCCGCAGACGGAGTACATCGGGGGGGTCGAGACAAAAACCCACTCAAAAAAAAAAATTTTGGGGGTGAGTATAACACCGGGCACACTGAAGCGCACATCAACCAAAATAACTCTCACATAGGGGCCCCTAGCAAACCTCAGAACAGCATTCCGACATTTTAAAAAGGGAATCATTCAGGCCCCCTGTAAAAACCGTGACGTTGGCCCAATTTTGGATACGGCCCCATTTGGGAAAAACCCCACCTACCAAGCACGTGAAGAAACTAAGAAATGCAAAGGTTTGCAAAAAGACTATCCCAGACTAAGAGGGATGTCCTACGAGGGGAGGTTTAAGGGGAAAACAACCCGACGACACTGGAGGACAGGA